ATTTTTTTAATTAAAAAAAAAAAAAAAGGTCCATTTCGCATGTTCTGGGATGAGGATGTGGACATGACTTTCAGGAAGGCAGGGACAGTGGTCAGCAGACAGCAGCCGCCAAAGAGTAACAGCTTGGTGGCATTTGGTGCCTTTGTCCCTGAGGGCCACCCAGGCTCAGGCTCGTCCTTGGAGCCTGGAATTCCTCCCCTGATGCAGGAAGCTCCCGCCACCCTCCACTCCTGCCGGAGCCCTCGGGCTTTCTGGCACCGTCTCTTGGCTGTCATCGATGGCCATTAGTCACCCTGAATGAGTCAGACGCCTGCTGTCCCAGGGCCGCCTCTCCTGGCCTGAGCTGCGTGAGCTGGCGAGGCTGATTTCTCCAGCAGTTCTCAACGGCTCGAGGGTGGTGCCCACGCCGGCTTCCAGAACGGGCTGGAGCCAAGTCCACACCGTGCCAGTCAGCGCACTTCCTGGGGCGACTGTTTGCAAAGGTGGTTTTCACTGCAAGCCCGGCTTCTCGCCCGTAGCGTTGCCGTCATTGGGGGCTGGGTTGTTCTCTGAGGTCAGGGCCATCTAGTGCATTGGAGGGTGTGGAGCTGCCTCCCTGGCCTGCACCAACCAGGTGCCAGCGGCACCTCCCTCCACAGGCGTGACAACCAGAAACGTCCCCCAGACAGTACCGACGTCCCCGGGGACAGCATCTCCCCGATGAGAAACACTGCCTTTGAATCATCCCACGAGACCCAGTCTCTGTTCATTTCAGGCTCTGAGCGTTTAGAAGTCATCTATGAGGGCCAGCCTCATGCGGCTAACCCCAGGGTCTTTTTTTTTGGAGAGGTTTTTGCTATAGGGCGCGCGCACTCACCCAGAAAACAGAGAGAGACAGAAAGCGAGAAATCACCCCCAGGGGGGATGGCCACACCGCAATCCCTTCTCCTCCATTCTCCTCTCAGGATCTTGGGCACACACGCACACGCGCCCGGCGTGAGTTTAAGCCACCGGGTCCGGGACTCAAACGTCTTTTTTTTTTTTTAAGAGATTTTTGCTACAGGCCTCATGCCAGAGAG